ATCCACCGGTAGGATTTGAAAGAACGGAAGTATGATAACGTAAGAAGAGGAATCTTGAACAAACCACCGTAAGAATTGAAAATGAACGAAGAAAAGATAAAGGAACACCGGAAAGAATTAGCAAATGAACAAAGAAGCTTGAGGGGATTTAGATACATCAGAACTTAGTGAAAAACTGGAGCATGCAAAACAGTTAACGAGTAGGCATGTTTACGAGCTCGTGCACTCACTATAGAGCATGGCATGACAAACTAAGCATACATCCATCAAGAATACATGGCATAGAAGCTAGACATGGCAAGAACAACAACATAACATGCACGGATCAATAGCAACATCCTCGGCAAAATCGCTAACAAGTCAACAATCTGCCAGGATTCACGATATAGCAAAAGTAGAGCTCGATTGACTCAAGCTAGGTTGCTCCATAAATGCAAGCAAAGACATGGATGGATAGAGCACCACAATATTAACAAAACATCCTTACTAATCATCCTCAAAAGAGGCACAGATCACTAGGAAACAATATGAACATATGGCATAACAACAAAATCAGGACAAGGACTTAGTGAAATTCTAAGTCCCTGAAAATAGAATTACCGATTACGCAACTTTGCAAGCTTGTGCTAGTCACCACAAATATCACAAAAATACATGGTAAGCACCACTGTAAAGATGGCATGGCATATTACAAAACACAAGTAGAGCTCCAGATCATAGCATGCACACATTAATCATGGCAAAAATGATAAAATGCCATTTGCTGAAACAGATCTGACAAATTACTCACATAGCCCTCTTTCAACAGCATTTCGGGCATCAAGATGAGCTCAAATGAAAATGATGCAATGAGATGAAATGATGTACTCGTCGAGACGAACATTTAGATATGCTACACGCACGAATCGGAACTACGAGTGCAGAGTTATGACATGATGAATATGCATAAAAATTACTAGGACTTGGCAGTTTTCAGGAAAAAAATAGACGAGCGTTATATAGTTACACAGCGCACGGGCGGAGGATAGCGGGTTCTCACCCCGTGGGCTCAGCCCAGCTGCAGAAGAGAGAGGAGGTAGGCAGGGCAGGCCGGCGCTGGCCTGCTGGGCCGGATTCGGGCGCGCAGCCCACTTGAAGGTCTCCCTCCTCCCGATCCCTCCTGGATCGGGGAGACAGGAGGCGGCGATCCAGGCGCGTTGCCGGCGAGCCGGCGAAAGGACAGCGCCAGGAGAGGGGGGCGGCGGATCCCGGTCCAGCGGGGCCAGATCCAGGCTAGGCGGCGACGGGGAGCCGCAGTGGGGCGCGGACGAGCTCGGATCCGGCTCCCCGGCGGCGAACGGCGGAGCAGGGCGGCAGAAACCGGTCGCCGGAGTTGGTCGCCGGCGTCGGCTGACGACAGTGGACGAGCGCGGCGGAGAAGAGAGACGAGGAGGCGCGGGAAGGCGCAAGCGACGGCGGAGACGAACCAAGCCGGGAGGGCCGGATCTGGGCGCCTCGGGCCCGGCGGCGCGGGGACGGCGGCGGAGCCACGTGGCGGCGCGCGAGTGGAGGAGGGGGCGGCGGTGCTGAGCTGGCGGCTCCTGATTGGCTGGAGCAACGTGGCGGCGGCGGCAGACACGTCCAGCGGCGGGACGGACATGTCTGGCGGCGCTGAGGGAGGAGTTTTAGGGTTTCGGGAAAATATCCAAAAACGAAAATGAAGGGGTCTATTTATAGAGGTAGAGGGAGTTAGGAAGCTCCAAATGAGGTGCAGTTTGCGGCCACGCGATCATGATCGAACGCTCTAGATGATGGAACAGGTTTAGGTGGGTTTTGAGCCACTTTGGAAGGGTGTTGGGCTGCAACACACACGAGGCCTTTTCGGTCCCTCGGTTAACCGTTGGAGTATCAAACGAAGTCCAAATGGCATGAAACTTGACAGACGGTCTACCGGTAGTGAACCAAGGCCGCATGGCAAGTTTCGGTCCAATCCGAAAATGTTTAACACCCGCACACGAAAAGAGGTAGAAAGGGACACCGGATGACATAGAAGCGCCGGATTGCAAAAGGACAACGGGGAAAATGCTTGGATGCATGAGATGAACATGTATGCAAATGAAATGCACATGATGACATGATATGCAATGCATGACACGCAAGCAAAGACAAGGCAACAACAGCGAATAACTGGAGGACACCTGGCACATCGGTCTCGGGGCGTTACAGGTACACACGTTGTCAGGGTACTTGTCGGAACCATAGAGTCGGTGTGCTTGTTCGAACGTCGGTCTTGCCGGTGGGGTACTTGGCGAAAAATCCCGGAGACGATGCTTGACGGTCCGCGTACGGGTCTTGGCAACGTTTTTGCCAACCCAAAACAAAGCAAGACAAAAGGCCTCTCGTGTGCAGCGCGCGAGTAGCGGCAGGAGATGGCGGGCCATAGCTGCTCATGCCCAACAATGAAACAACAAAATCGGCCATGACTTAGTGGTGGTGCAGCACATCAGGAGGCAGGGCGTTGTAGGAGAAAGGGGTCAGAGATGGGGGGGCAGTAGCAGCAGAGCGAAGCAGAAATGATGGAGCTCGGGGTTCGTGGTGCAGGGGGCACGAGAGGCACCATGGATGCAGAGGAGACAAGGTGCACGTCAGCAAGGCGGAACAGGCCGGAGGTCGAGGTCGCCAAGGGAGGGAGGCAACAGGGGCGCCGCGATGCTGATGGCCTCGCGGGCCATGGCGGGAGTTGCAGCGGCGAACATGTGGTCGGGCGCGACCGAGAGAAGCGAGGGCTTCGCGCGCAAGAAGGACGCGGCAACCGGAGGGGTCGCGAGCAAGGAGCTCTTCTCCTGCGTGCATTGCGCAACAGTGGCGCGGTGCGGGAATTGGGACGAGGGCGCGGCGTTGGCCTCTCTCTATGGCGGCGCCAGGAGGAAGGAGGGGATCGAGTGGAGTTGGGGATCGGAAGAGAGCGGCGCTGAGGGGAAGCGAGAGGGAGAGGTCGAGAGAAGGGGGTCGGGGATAGGGTTTTTTAGGTGCAGCTGGGCCTGAGGATGGGCCTTAGAGGCCAGCCCAGTGGAGGGGAAATGGCCAGAGGCTCGGCTGCTGGGCTGTCCAACCTCTTCCTTCTTTTTATCTCCATGAGAAATAAACAGAATTTCAAAGACAAGAAAGAGAGGGTCCGGAAAAGAATTTGAACAAGAGGTCAAATTTTCTGGACTCGCAAAAATGCGCTTGTTCAAAAAAAATGGAGTGGGCAGATTAAATCCAAAGTCATTTGAATTTAATCAAATGGTTTGAACAAGGACTAGGATTTCGAAGTGCCCAAAAATGTTGAGATTTTAGGAAGAGCCTCGATAAATGGAGAAAGAATTATCGACAAGGTTTGGAGATGAAACTTGAAGTAGAAGAGGCATGGAATTAAAATGCAAGTGTGTTATGGTTAATTCCAAATTAACGGAATATTTTATTATAGCTCCTTAAAATATTGAAAGAATATGTTACAAAGAGAAATCACCATGTGAATTCCCTCAATTTAAATAGATCAACGATCTATGCAATTTATTTAGTTGAGTTTTAAAAGGGGTTGCATAATGACATGATGCAAAAGAAAAATGTAACGAACAAAACAAATCACATGATAAAATTCAAAATACATGAAAGGCATATGAAGCGTCGGTCTTGGGTCGTCACAACTCTCCTCCACTTACAAGAGATCTCGTCCCGAGATCTAAGGATGACAAACGAAAGAGAAAGAGAAAAAGTAAAACTAAGTTGCTTTTTTGACAACGAGTGAAACCAACAAACCTTGAAAGGTTGCAAGGTCATGAAGAATGGCGCAAAGCAAGAAGAATTCGGACAGCGCTCCGGTTCAAAAGAGAGGCAAAACTTGATAAGATGAAAAGAACTTGAACGGAGGACACAATATTCCAGTTAAATGGATAAGCAAAGAAAATAACATGATCTTGACAAAACGAGATGATGAGATGAAGAGAGCAACATCACAATGCCTCCGAAAGACATGAATGATGTGAGAGGCAAAACGAGTCGATTTGCTCAGTTCTAAGAAGGCAGTGGATCAATCGCGGGCTTCCTATTCTAAGACCTGATGGCGAGATAATCTTAAGACCTGGTGACGAGACAATCTTTAACAGTATGGATGATGCTTGTTTGGGGAATGGTTTTGATACATCACAGGTGACATGGGACCCAACATGGGACCCAGGAGGTTCAACACAACATCGACTTGAGGACGAAACTGTAGAATGGGTTCAGTACGCCTTGCCAACTCCATGGGACCCCAGATGGCGCTACTAAACATCGACTTGGGGCAAGTTGAATCTTATGGTGGGAGGGATTGTGTCAACAACCTGGGCCTTGTCGGGCTCTCAGGCACTACCCAGCCCACGAAGGAGATGCACTACAGGGGGGGCCTCAACGAGCAACTCGGCTGGGAACAGATGGATTCGGCCCCCACGAGCAGCTTGGCAGGGAAAGGATGGCTTCGGCCTTGCTTGTACGACTTGACTGGCTCCTGTTCTTCCTTCTCTCTCTCCGTCCGAAATTACTTGTCGTAGAAATGAATAAAAATGAATGTATCTAGAACTATCATACATATAGATACATTTCTTGACCAACCTCCATGGTTTGTATTTCATGCTAGTTTGAGTGGATTGAGCACTGGGTTGCTAACATTCTCGCTTGCCATTGGCTACGGCAAATTTGGTGACCGGTATTTCATATCGATTCAACGTCAGCTACTACAGCTTGCATTGAGCACTTGCACGAAGAGGACAGGCCAGTCCGGTATAAAGGACCGTCAACAGCTCGTTCGAGCAGCGGCAAGTGCTTGAGATGATTTGTACTTCAAGTGAATCTTTATAATGTATCAGATCCTTTTCGCCATAAAAAATAATCACAATCTGTGTTATATTGCGAATTAAAATAATCACAGCAGCATGTTCACTTTCAAGTTCCAGAAAAGCACTCCAGCTTGGACGTAAGGTCTTCCTGGGGGCATACATGCATCACACCAAGCTGGCAAGTACTCTTTCGTGTCGTACCTGAATGAAAAGGGGAATTAAATGGAGAACCAGCAAATCTGATAACCCAAGAAGAAACAGAACATTTTGAGCATACCTGAGATCTTCGATGACCACCACCGTCCAGCAACACCCAGCCAAGATTGAAGTCATAGCCCTCAGCATTCTGAAATTCTGCAGAACAGAATGTCATACTAGTACATCATAAGGTGTAGCCTGCACAGAACAAGACCAAGATCAATACAGCACAACACAGGCCTGCACAAGCAAATCTGATTCGGACAAAAAAGAATTAAGGGCTAGCTTATGCTAAAACTGACATCTCAGAGGACCACCACCGAACCAGCAGCATTCCAAGCTAAGATTATGAAACATCATCAGATATACCCTGCATAGAGAACAAGAACCATATCAGTACATGCCTGTAAAATCAAGAACTAGCAAAAAGAACAAGGGCTGGTTTATGCTAACAGGGGACCTCAGATATCAGACAAAAAAACAGAAGGATCCAAACAGGGCTTCCACAAACCCGAAGCATGTACAGCGTCACCCCGGTTGGAATTTTACATCAATCAATATAATAATGCCAACCAAACACCATGCTATACCACATACCAGTTTAAAGAGCACAAGCTATACCACAGATCAACATAGAAGTACAAAAACCAACAAGGTGCAATATCAGGTAAGAACATAACTGAAAACATGATAACATCTTCCAACAACATAAAACATCATTCAACAGTCTCGAACTAACAACAGGTGACAGACAACAAGGCAGCTGAATAAAAAAATGATTTTCTTTTCTAGATGTGGACTTTGTACATAGAGGGAGCTTATGTCATATGTTACAGAAGCCCTGCCTACGTTAGCAATACTGATCCTACAAGGGCATATCAAGCAACGCATGTTTGTAGCTAGCAGCAATCTCGCGGCAAAGCTTGACACCTAACCTTGCTCTAGGGCCAGTGAGATTTATCTCTCCTGGCATGTCTCAAAATGGAAATGCCCATGCGCATGTATTTATATCTATGAGAAAGATGGTAGCCTGTTAAGCACACTAAAGCAAGTATTGCAATCCCAGAAAGAAACCATCCAGCTGCAGCCTTGTTGAAGTCTGGTTATATCAACAGACCAAATGTGTCCTGCACAATTGCAGAACACTGAGGACCTGGGGCAGCCTTTTTCTACTGTAATCTGAACCACCCAACAGAGCGCATCTGACGATCTGATTGTACTGACGTCAGTGGCTATTGTTGCAACATGCCGCCGAGAGGCCTACTAATTTCATGAGGAATCCTTTCATTATGTCAATAATGCCTTCTCCTTAACACAACCGACCCAGGGTGTACATCTTCCAATAGGTGATGCTTTGCTCCAACCAGGCTTCATCCCGAGGAAGCTCATCATTGTTACGCGCACGCAAAGATGAAGATAGCAACGCATTGTCTTCAGACTTCTCTCCGAGAACCATTGGATGAATTCGGCCTCTTGGCCACTCCAAACTGCAAACTTTCCCTAGATCTATCACCAGATCGTCCCAGGTCATCCAAATTCCGGTAACTAGCATTTCTTGGAACAGAGTTAGGACGCTCATCCTCATCAGCCCTCATGCCAATCCTGGGGTCCGGAAGCATGTCCAGATGCCTCGGTCTTGGTCCACCAGTCCTCAAGTTCCTTAGGTTGTTTGAAGTATTCCTTCCTGGAGTGTTGGAAGAGATCTTCATGGCAAGAAAGTCCTTGGGGATGCTATCCAAGTCCATGAAACATTTTCTGGCCTTTGCATCTGCTACCAGCGCCGCCCAGTCCTCTGACTGCATGAGAGCACTGGCATTACCAACAACCTAGAAAACGACGAATAACTATTAGTACTATAGCATTTGTTCATAGCATGTTTTGAAGTAGCAGTACAGTGGTCTTGATGCATTTTTTAAAAGAGGACAGAGAGACGTACCCATAGAGCTCTCCTAGCTCGAGTAAGAGCAACATTCATGCGCCGTATATCTGCAACAAAACCCACGCCGTGGTTTGAAGCACGCACGCATGACATGATAATCACATCACGCTCCTGGCCTTGAAAAGCATCTACTGTGTTTATGTAGATATCTTTCCCTTCCTCAGTATTCATGACCTCCTCAAATTCCCGCTGAAGACACTTCAACTGCAACTTATATGGAGTGATTATACCAACAGATGCCTTCTTACCACCATTAACTTTCACAAGCTTCTGAAGATGCTCGTATAAACGCAATGCAAACTGAGCTTCATGAACATTCTGGTATGAAGATGATCCACCTCTATGAGACTCACGACCATGTGAGATGTCATAAAATATGTAAGGTGCCATTAATGCATCTTTGTAATACAACTCATCAGGCAGTTTGACAACACTTTCACTGTCTGTAAGGCGGCCTTGATAAAAGTATCGTGATGGAAACTCTCGGATCTGGGGATGCATCCGATATTGCACTGACAACAAAATGGTAGGGCAACCAGCCTGCTGAAACCTCTCAAAAAGGCTCCTGCTATAGAGTAAAGTTCCAGCCGCTTTACTAATAACAGTGGCAGGGAGCTGCTGTGGATCACCTACCAAGACACATCTAGCGGCACCAAGTGCAAGTGGAGGGAGGACTCCAACTTCACTGGCCTGAGCAGCCTCATCGATAACAACCATATCAAAACCATGACTAAGGCGAGAAAATAACCTGCGCCCGCTGCTTGACACTGTTGTAAAAACAATTTCTGCTTCATTGGCGAAACTGGCTTCCAGACTAGACCTAGCATCTTCCAGATTGAAGTTGCTGCCAACACGGAACCTGCTTTCTAATATCAGCAGCCTTGACATCTCTACAAGTACTTTATCCCTGCTTTCTACAGAGGCAGCAAGTTTTTGAAGCAGAATGTCACGGTTACGATCCCTGTGAGCTAGCACATCAGGATCTACCCCAACCGAACCATGGGATCTACCAGCTGCTGCAACGATATTAAGTTCCCTCTGTAGAAGCCCTATCTCCTGTGATAACTGCTGCTCACGGCCTTTTAGCTGCTGCAACCACCCAATTACTTCATCACGGCCCTTCATTAAAAGCTGTTCCGTCCGTCGCTCAACTGATACAGCTTGGGCAGCACGAGACTGTGTGTCAACTCCAACACGGGCAACATCAGGGCGGTAAACCTTCATCTCACCATCTATGAAACCTCGGTCAAGAACACGAGAAAGCAGCTCATCTGTTGCAGCATTTGATGGGGCGCACACAAGCATCCGTGGTTTGGGGCAAAGCTTGGGAAGAGTGCGGAAAAGGTTCTGATCCATGCTCTGCAAAACTTCATCAATAGACCCTGCGGCAAAAGCCTCTGAGCTGCTGTTAGTGGTACTACCAACTTGCTTGTAACTTTCAGGAGCAAGTTTCTTTAGCAGAGCAGCATAGTAATGTTGATACTGAACAAGATGAATAACATTTAACATTCCCCACACAGTATGGGTTTTCCCTGTCCCCGGAGGACCTTGTACTAATGTGAAAGGCCATGGTTCTTGTTTCTTAACCACTCCATTGCTTGTACCAGCAGCTGTGTGCATTGCAGCCCAATGAATAGCCGATAGCTGAGGCCCATTGAAAGTACGATTGATATGATCAGAAAAACTTGGAGTGAAACAGTCAGGCATAGCAGGCGGCTGCTCTTGATATTTTGGGAAGTGCTCTGGACTTGGCTGAAGAATTGCATTTTGCATCTGATGGAAAGTTTTTTATCAGCGTCAAGCAAAAATGTTAACCAAGAAAGACAGATAACAACCAGGTGTAATATGCATTACCTGCACATTAAGACGGCGGAATGCATGCAATGCTACATATTCCCTTTGTGTTGTTGCAAGGGAACCAAGACCCGTTAGATACCAGGTGCTTCGAGGTTGCAGTTTCCTCAGAACATTAGTCTCGCTGGTGCATCACAGAAAAGACAACCAAAACAATAAAAAAAAGGTCAATAACAGTGTATATGAATCGAGTCAACTTAACAAAGTAAACTAAACGTAACAATCTAGTACTCCCTCCGTCCGAAAAAACTTGTCCCAAGCTTGTTCCTCAAATGGATGTATCTAGCACTAACTTGGTGCTAGATACATCCATTTTAGGGACAAGCTTTTTCGGACGGAGGGAGTAGGTAATATTCTCAGAAAATTGTGTCTATGAACCTCATCACAGGTCCTGTTAGGATGAGGGGATTTTCGCTTGAGTATAGCTTAATTCATAATAGGATGGTGATGTTCTCAACACTAGACAAACCAGAACTAGGAAGTTACAGAAAATTGCAGAGCAGATGGTTTTGTGTGCATGTGTAATGTTCAATGTAACTGTGCACGTGAAAAACCCGACGACCTTAAAAGCCAAAGGCAAACTGACAAGTTAGACAAGCTGTTGTATGAGTAAGTACTGCTCATTCCAAGGTAAACCTGCATCGTGCAGTGCAAAATTCATCGTGTCAAGCATGATAAATTCCAAAGCATAGTTGACTTAAATAAATTTGGCATGCAACTTCTATCATGTGTGTGAACTGTGAAGCAAACAATCACATGCCAGTGATAAAAAGAACTAAGAAAATTCCAATCACTGTTGATATAGTAGGGGAACAGGGTGGACAAAGAGCACAAAAGTGTGGTCTTATCAAAACATAGTGTGGGATAGCTAAAGAACAATGATATCACTAACACTGGATTACCTGCTACAATCAAATGAATCCCCAGCATAAAAATGGATAGTTGCTCCAATGGGATCACGCGTATCAATAGGCATATGGCGTCTGACCGTACCTACAAGCCGTCCACAGTCAGCTTCAGCGTCTTCATTTGAAGCAGCGGTCTTCCTATTAGATCTACTTGATTGGGCAGCTAATGAACAAAACAAAGGTAAGTGAACAAAGTTGTCAAAACATATTTGTGGAAGCAAAATAAAAATCTTGATAAAAATAAAGGGATATTATCAGTATGGCTACCTGAACCAGGCCGGGGGGACGACAAAATTGCAACTTCTCCTTCTTTAAAAGTCCATTTATATTCATGTGTTGGCAAAACAATAACATCATACCATCCTGAATGCAGCAAGCATATTTATGTTAGGTGATTACAATGGGTAACATGATTGCTCTACAAAAAAGGGGGCAATAAAAATGCAGAAAATATACCTCTTTCACGCCTATCCACACTTTTCACGCGCACCATTACATGTGCATCCCTTGATACAGCCTCAAGACTCTCCTCGTAGGAACTATATAGCTGAGCTCTGCATTCCTCAAAAAGCAAAGGCTCAAAAACTCTAATGTACTCCTCGGCAGAATCAAAGCTTCCAGGAACACACTGAAGTTCTTCCTCCTCTGTTCAGATAACAATTATAAACTTGCCTTGTCAAACTAAGAGTGCTCATGCACACACACTGGTTTTACAATAGAACGAAACCAAGCAAACACTGACGATGCAATAATTATATACAAGGCATGTATTCACACAGAAAAAACAGTGCAATTGTACCAACCATGAAAGAAAAATACGGAGCAAACTAGGAACAGTCCTAATAAATACAGAACACAGGCAGACATATATAATACTTAAGTTTACTATTTATATAAAATAAACCATATATGTCTAAAGGACTGCAATCTTCTTATAAGCGTATAAGTCACCCTTATGTTCTGCAAGTCACTAAAACAGAATTAGCATTTGAGGAAGTAGCACTAGCCAAATTTCACAAGCGCATAAACAAAATGTATTGCCTCACAGCACATGAAAGAAGTTTCCAGATTAAACAACGGCGTCAGTTAACCAAAGATGTCCAGAAGAAACAGGGACAATGCCGAAGAACTAACCTGGATTGTGCCAGAACTTGCCATTTGTCACTTCCCGTATAAATCGTTCAACAGATGTGTCATTATACTGTGTGTTATTAACTGAAGCTTGCTTCTTTGGAACAAGAGACCTTTTGTTAGCTGGCTTCTGATCTGCAGTATGTTGTCCTGTTAGAAGTGCTCTCTGAGAAGAGACTGGTCTGCCTTTAAACTGCTTGGAATCCGTGGGCTGCTTTGAAAAGGCCTGCCTTGGCACAGATTGTTGGTAACTATCTGAGGGGGGTTCTTCGGCATTCATTTTCTTTGACCTGCCGTGAGATCCCAACTCAAAATCACCATTAGATTCTCCATTTTGGTCACAAGGATCTGCAGAATTACTTCTTTCTGGACCAATCATCTCAGATTGTCTCTGATCCCTGATGACTGGTTGGTTCTGCTTGTCTGCAGCTCTTTCACCAACACCACGAGAAGCTTCTTTCACGGTACGTGTAACAATTGGTGCTGGAAAAGATGACTGTCTCCTCGGTGTAATTGTCTTCATTGTGCCAGCTTGTTTTGCATCCTCAACATTGATGAACACAGTCTGCCTCGCTCGCTTTTTACCAAGCATTGCAACTTTGTGATCATCTAACTTAGGTCTCTTTGCAGGGTTGTTCGTGCACTTCAATGCATAACTGGCTTCTACTCCTCTGACATCCTTTGACTTAGTGCACTGGTCCAAATCATCCACAGGTTGACTTCCTTTAGATTCAGACGTTTTCATGCTCTCTAGTCCTGTCAGACCATGAAGGACTGGACCTTTAGACACATCAGACATTTCAGTGTCACCAGGTTCAGGAGCAATGTCATCTTTAATCACATCAGTAGATTTAACAATAGCAGGTCCACTCTCCTGGGATTCTCTTTTCACTTGAGTACTTGCAGTACCAGCAGATTCTTCCTTGTTGCTGACACTACTACCTGCTGTGTCAGAAGCACCATCTGCATCAGACCACTCTCCCTCTTCTCTTTCAACTGATTGTGGAACCTGATTGGAGGGCCCAGTAGGACACACAACACTATCAGATAAATTATTAGTTACCACAGATGTAGAAGCCGCAGTAGCATCCAAATTCTCTTCTGTATTCATAGAATTCTTTACATTTTGTGAATCTGTACTTCTAACAAAAGGCTGAAAACCTGAACCAGAAGATGCATGATTAAAGGCATGGTTGTTTAATATCCCTTGTGACCAAGGCACTTCTTGTGGTGGAAACAAATTTGAGGGATACATATTGGGAACAGGAAGCTGAGGTTGGGACACAACAACAGCAGCTTCTTCTTCATCAGCTTCTGTTGGGAGCTCATTGAGGTCAAATAACATCCTTCCACGAGACCCCATGTCATGTGTAAATGCATATAACTTGAATGTTTAACTGGTGGATTCAGTAACAATCTTCCAGGGCAATAGCACCTACTGGAAGAGAACTATTATTGACCTTCTGTATAGCAAGAAATCTGCAACAACCAGCGTAATATGTTAGTAATATACAATGATAAACAGGGTGTTCAAGGGGTGCCTGGATGCTTCATTCCATTACTGAGATAGCCCATCAACAAGAGGCGGAAGCAGAGCTGAACAAGGAAGTGAACAGTTACAGCAGAACCCTCATTGTACGGTACTACAGAAAAGACAAATCTTGATCAGGTTATGCGACCTGAATACGATTCTTCGCTGCATTCCTGTCATGTTCAGACCCAGCCCCCTTCGTCCTCTTGTTGCCCACTTCATATCCATCTCAAGAAACTGGATTCTAGGAATTCAGGATCTCCACATCCAGACAGACCCTTTACAGACAACGTAAATAAGTATGTGGAACATATCAAGCAGATGGTGCATAACTACCTAAAGGTAAACATTGTCATACACACCATTATGTTTGGGACAGGGCATCTATACTATCAACTCGAAAGCAAACGGATTGGATTTCAACATGAAGTACAGCAATATTTAACAAATTACCACAGACAAAAAAACAATAAAAGCTTGTAGCAAGACTAGTATCAATTTCTTCCAAACTAAAAAGGGGTTCCCTATCAAACAGATGATACATTAATGGCTGTAGGAGAGAGAGAGAGAGAGAGAGAGAGAGAGAGTATAGCTCAATAAATGAGCCTAAAACTTCGAGGCCCTTCCCAGTGCTCCACCTTGTACCGGGGCAAAGGCTCCCCAAGTATGCAAAAAATCTGTTGTGGCAAGGTAATTAAGAGGAGAGAGGAGTTTGATGAGCCCACAAAGAAACGATGCTAGGGGCGCGCACCTAGATGAAAACACAATTTACAGTCTACAACTCATTAAATGAAGAGAGCTTAGCAACAAGAAACAAAGCACCTATGCATTGGAGAGTTTAGTTGCTATAAGCCCTTTCATGCACTTAGCACCTCATCTAAAGTACCTATGCACTGCAAGAGGTCTCACCAACTCCGCATAAGCCCTAGGGTCTAATCCAGTAATAATTTCAACCCTAATCCTGAATTACGACTGTATTCTAAACTGCGGGTAAGCTCTTATAATCCGCCACCACCTCCTCCCTCCTGCTTCACCACCACCTACAAATGTTTCAGCCTCTGGCATCACTGCCTCCTACCTGAGCTTCTCCTCCACCCTCTCGCATTCATCATTATTCCCCAGTTCCTCTTATTCTCATCCACCTTCTGCTCCCTTCAGCTTCCGAGCCACCGCCACCCCAAGCCCCGTTCTTCCTCTTACCATGCCCCTGCTTCTCTACTTACCCATGCGTCTCTGCTCCTCTTTATATTCCGCTTCTTCTCCAACCCTGGCTTGATTCCTCTATGAAGATTCGGCATTTTATCCATTGAGCACTCAAATGTTTTATTAGTGATGGGCTTCTTCTAGTTTTGCAGAAATGGCAAGTTGTCCCCTGCTCCGATGGACAAACACGTTATCTTTCAAAAAGAAAAACACAATCGCTACAACCAACAAATGTTCTCTTCATGCCACTCAAACCAAAAGGCACACACCCAGTTAGACAACCGATGAATAAACACCAATATTGATTCACAGCTACTCCAAATTATATCATCACTAAAGTAGAGGTCTACAAACTTGACCAAAAGTTTCAAATGGGAAAATGATCCAGAGCTAGTCTGAATAGAACATCAACTAAAATAAGCACATGCCTATAAATGGTAAATGACCCCTTTGGGCAGCAATGATTTAAAGACAACCCTAAATTAAAGCTATTTACAACAGGAGTGCCTTCAGCTAAAGGCATCCAACAAATCCAAAAAATCTATCCAACTCCTAACAGTTAACCAGTAGCACAAATGACTCTCCAAACCTTCTATCTGACATAAATAGCTTGATGACTACTACAATGTTACAGGAATATCAAACTTGATATTCAAAAGTCCACTTCAAACAGAATAGAGGATGTGTGCCTCCAATGAAGTCAGAAGGTTAAGTATTAACTATTATTAAAAGTTACCCAAGGAGGAATTTAATTTACAGACTACAAAAATATCCCTTTATTACAAAATTGACCAAGGCGCAACTATGATTCACTTACAGCATCTACAATGCTAGACGCCTGGACAGACACTTAGGGGGAATAAATAAATATCATAAACTTTAAAACGCACCGCCTTACCTTTCAACGGCAGACGCTGATTTATATGCGCTAATTACGCAACTAGGCACTTCGTGCGGAAAAGAAACGAGCCAAGCGCTTGGTGCATGCTTTTGCGTCGATGCTACTTAGAACACCAGGATTTAACAGAGCACAACCACTAAACAGGCAGGAAATCAATCCTAGCACCAGCCTCTAGCACCTGGCGTTGTAGATGCCATTATACTCTGAATTAAATGTTACAACAGAAGAAGTACGCATACGACAAAATCCCACCCAAATCAGTACAAAATCATACATGTCATCTAAGAAACAATGGGTTCTAACTAACAACCAACAAAACATGATGTTCCAGTAGCAGTGTAACAAATCTGCCAATTCTACTCACCAAAAAGTCAAAAACTAGGTTGACAATTAACTACAGCGTAGCAACTGTACAAATTAGATGAACAATCCACTATTCAAACAAAAAGCAAATGAATCTAACACGTGCCCTCTATTATTTGACTAAACAGATGATGAACTAATAAAAACTGAAGAAGCAAGAGCAACTAATGGTGGGGGTAAACAATGTACCTCCAAACCCCTATGTCGAGTGCTAGAAATCAATTAGCAAGAGGAAAGTTAATATACGGCAGCACAAATAAAGATCGTGTACCCTCTTCCATTCATTGCTACCACTAGCATGGCATAGCCTGCTTCTGTTTGCTCGATCTACCAGGATAGGGTATTTATCGCCCCGTCTTAAATCAGGAAATCCCATGGAAATTTTTCCAAATTCCATAAACGTCCCTTGGAAGCCGTCGCTAGATTTGGCGAATCCCCCGTACCCTGATCCCCATTCCGTTTCGAGATTCGGCAAACTCACATCGCACAGTTAATGTCCGAATTAGGCAGCAGCCCATGCCCCGCCTGCCTAACTTGGAGAGAGATGGAAGGAAAAAAAGGCTCGTCCCACCCACGCGCATCCATCCCATCCTAGGGTTTCGTCATTCGACCGCCGCCCCGTTCAATTCGTATCGAAACCGCGTGACGGCGGGTCCTAGGGTTCGTAGCAGGCAAGCAGGAAGAGTCGTGAGTTGGCGGGGATCTCCGTACCAGGCGATCGTTGTCGGCGTCGGCGTCGGCGGTGGAGGGCAGATCCGTCTCTGTTTGACTAGGGTTCCCTTCCACCCTCTCCTGTATGCCCCCGCCTCCCTCCTCGATGCGTATGCGTGCGTGTTCTTCTCCAAGAAAAGAATTCTTTTCCTTTTTGGTTTGGTGGCCTCGGACTCGGCCCCTCTCTCGCCTCACGAGCGGTCTGTGTGCAGGTGACGAGACTACTAGAGCTTTCGCTTCCTTTCTTTCTTCTCGACGAGAGAGAGAGAGGAGAGAGGGGGTGGGTGTGAGGTCCAGATGTGAGGGAAGAGGCGATGGGTGGAGGCTTATTTATAACCCACCGGGGGCCAGGCCCAACAGCCTCCGGCTACGCGGACCAAACCGTATAGCCCCAACCACGTTATATGCCCCTGCCTTGTGGAACCCGGCTGTGGGTCCGCTTGCTGCGTAACCCGATGAAAGGGGTGGTGGGCCCGGGTCGCGCGTGGGGGTGTGCGTTCGCTCGCATCTCGGGCGGATGCAGTCGCATCGCAGGCACCAGGTTGGAACCGAACTCGTCCGTTCTCTTCGACTAGCTGGAGTAACTTTGGCACTAACATCAAATTCAACTTAACAAATTTGTTTATGGGCAATACGTTAATGAAAAGAGATGTACTTTGAATAATTTAGCTAGTTACTATAACATCACATGTCCTAATGTAATATGAGTCTATGACCTAATAAATAAGGCTTTGCATTTTACCATACTTATATTACTACTCACTATGAAGGTAGTAATATAGTCCAGGGAAATGTGTATGTTAGTATGTTACTCTTCATTGTGGCTAGTCTTCTCACTCATCTCACGCCAACTTAAGACCGCATTTAGTCCGCCTCTGTTCATTTGGCTCGAGACAAATAAATAACATGGCCCAATGCGTGAATTGAATGTAAAATTTGCCCGGCGCTTGTCCATTTGGACTTATTTCTGACCCAAATTTAGGTTGATTTTGTTCAAGCGGACACTCGACGGACGAGCGCTTGTCCTCTCGGTGTTTGACCTCAGTCCCGCGTGGCAACCGACTAACCACCTTCCACCCCAAACTCGTGGATGGGGCCCACATGTCCGCCCTCACGCGTCCTTTTAATATCTACCCCATGGACCGATTAGTGCACTTCCACACACTTCTTTGCCCTCGCGCGTCTGACAAGACCTAGACTGGGCCACCGGCCATGATGGGGATATGGAAGTGGATCCCGGGGGCGTTCATCAAGCACGACGTTCAAGCCGGCTCTTATTCTGCCCCATCAGGATCGAGGAGCACCGGCGGGTTCTCTATCTCGCCGCCCATCGTCGCGCCGCGGTAGAGGCCATACGTGAAGGTGGAGGTGTGCCAACGCCACGGGGACACGGCCACCTAGCTCCCATGGCCCGACACGCATGTGCCAAATGGGTGGCATCTCAGCCTTGATCGGGTGTCTGTGGCGGCCATCCCGACGAGCGGCCGTGCCCGTCCACTTGAGATCAACCGCCGACGAGCGCAGCTGCATCCAGACCTTCTTCATGACCCCAAGTTCACCGTCAAGTCCCCGATGTGGGTCACGTGGTTCCTGGACAAGCACGACGTGCGGCGGCAAACTTTCTTTGGCGCCCGTGCTCCGAGCCCACCGAGGC